ATCCCTACTCTGAACGGCTCTAGCCCAAGCTGTGATATAAACGAATGCTATTGGCTATTTTAAAAAGGGGTGGGGCTGCTTGATATGTCCCGCCCTGTCTTCCTGTTTCAGTTAAAATGACGTCGACACATAGAGTAACGCTGCCTGTTTCTAAGCATTTCAGGGGACCTTTAAGTGCAAACTGAACGTGATGTTTTTAGACACTTAATTGCATGTTAATTGTGATTAAATATAAATGTATTACAGTTTAAACTGATTTTAAATGCAATTAGGTGAACTTTACAGTGTTTTTTGGCCCACTTAAGTAGGACTTAAGTACATCTTTATGTAATTTCATAATTGTTTATTGTCTTTGAAATATGATTAAAGGGGTCATATGATGCTGCTAAAAAGAACATTATTTTGTGTATTTGGTGTAATGAAATGTGTTTATGCGAGAGACATGGAGAATGAACTTTAAAGGACAAGTTCACCCAAAAAAGTGAAAATTTCCTGAAAGTTTTGTTAGAGCAAGTGATGTAATGCTAAATTTCTCCAAATCTGTTCAGATGAAGAAATAAAGTCATCTACATCTTGGACGGTGAGTAAATTTTCAACAAATTTTCATTTTCAGGTGAACTATTGCTTTAAAAGCATGTATGTATACGTGTGCCGTACTTAGCAATGGCTTCATCTCTGTCTCGTATAGCGCTCTGTAACTGTTCGTTGGGCTCGTGTACTTCTGCCATCGCTTTCAAGTGCTCATTTTCCTCTCTTGAAGAAGAAACTTCCACTGAGAGCAACGCCACCTACAGGATCCAGAGCAGGACAGATGAATGAATGAACTCGGGTATTTAAAAACAGTAAGTATGTATGTGTGTCTACCTGGTTATGGAGCTGTAGCACCTCCTCCTGGCTGTTGCATGTTTTTTCCTGCTCCTGTTCGTACAGTTCTCTAAGCTCTCGCAGCTCCTCGCTCAATTTACGCACCTGCTCCTCCAGAACCTCCTCCTCACTGCGCCGTGAACTCTGAACGCACGCAAAACACATATTGAATAATAATAATAATCTGAATGTTCGCAGTAAAACGTTCGATGATTGTTACCGTAGATTCGTTGCCGTCCAGCAGGTTTTGCGTGAGTCTGCGCAGCTCCAGAAGATTAGCGTGCAAACTCCCCGTGGGGACGTCTTTAGCCGACAGCGTCTCCGAAGACTCGTCCATGGAAGAGTCTGTGGATAAGGCGGAGTCTGTGATGTCATTTCCTCTCAGCTGCGAGCAGATGGAGCGCACCTGACAGTAAGCCTCCCACAGCTGCAGCCGGAGCTGAAGGAAAGACAAGAACGTTAAAAAAAGCACTTATTATGGAAATTATCGATTTAAAATAGCATACCCAAGTGCAAACTGAATGTAATGTGTTCTGACACTTTATTGCATGTTAATTGCAATTAAATTAAAAAAGTATTATAGTCTCAATTTATATTAAATGCACATAGATGACCTTCAGAGTGCTTTTTTGGCCCTCTTAAGTAGGACTTAAGTACATCTTTATATGTGACCCTGGAGCACAAAAGCAGTCTTAAGTCGCTGGGGTATATTTGTAGCAATAGCCAACAATACATTGTTTGGGTCAAAATTATTGATTTTTCTTTTATGCCAAAAATCATTAGGATATTAAGTAAAGATCATGTTCCATAAAGATATTTTGTAAGATTTTTCTTTTATGCCAAAAATCATTAGGATATTAAGTAAAGATCATGTTCCATGAAGATATTTTGTAAATTTCCTACTGTAAATATGTTAAAACTTAATTTTTGATTAGTAACATGCATTGCTAAGAACTTCATTTGGACAACTTTAAAGATGATTTTCTCAGTATTTTGATTTTTTTGCACCCTCAGATTCCAGATTTTCAAATAGTTGTATCTCGGCCAAATATTGTCCTATCCTAACAAACCATACATCAATGGAAAGCGCATTTATTCAGCTTTCAGATGATATATAAATCTCAATTTCGAAAAATTGACACTCATGACTGGTTTTGTGGTCCATGGTCACATATGTAATTTCATAATTACCTATGTTGTCTTTGAAATATGGTTGAAGTGTACTGACAAGCATTTATGATAAACTAAATTATACTTTAATGCCATTTCTATTGAAACTTGCATGTCATGTATTTAAATATATTAATAATTACACTATTATGAAGTTGCAATTTAGTACATTTAATATATTAACTTTTAATGTAATATCAAATAAGACACTACAGGCAAACTTATAATCAAGTACTTTATATGTGCTTCAGTATGTTAGTCAGCACATCAAAACAAGTGTACTTTTTGAAAGCTCAACTTTAAAACATTAAAATAGAATGATTTATAATGTACTTTAAAGTAAAACGTTTTATTTTACATTTTTACAAAGTACAAACTTTTTAAAACTTATGTGTGTTAAGAAACAGTCATGAAAGTGTCTCTCTTTAAGTATGCTTAATTGGCCTTTTATTTCATTAATATTATATTATTTGCAAGTAGGTTTTTTAAGAAATGTACTCTTAAGATCTGAAGTTCACTAGTGTGCTTAATTGTATTGCACATTTAATACAATTTAGCACACTTCTTTTTCACAAGGGTCATTCTGCGCAGTTTATCCTACATGTGAATGATTCCTCAAATCATGTGACTTGATCACATTTGCTATTTTACCAGTAAGCATATCACATATTTTTTCCAGTGGTTTGTGATTGCAATTTTAAAGATAATTTTATAGACATTTGTTCATGCAAAAAGCAATTTCTAGCCTATGAAATATTTAAGAGCTGTGCCTAAATAGAAAAATATAAATTCACTATATAGACTAGTATATGCACTCCATTTTTTTTTTCAATTGTATCAATTCAGTGACTTCTTCAAATCACAAATGTAAAATTTCCTGATATTTTCAGGTTTTTCAGGAGCATTGGATCCATGTCTTCAGTGACAGGACACCATTCCTGCTTATTTTGCAAGGTATTTTTGTTATTTATTTATTTATTTTATTTTATTTTTTAATTTAAATTTTAAATTTTTATTTATTTATTTTACGACTGAAAACACATCTGTTCCACCTTTATTTGACCCTCTAACTCTAGCACTTTTTTATATTCTATTTTAATTCTACTTTATCTATATTTATCTTAATGCAGCCTAACGCACTTTAAAAACAAAACAAACAAAAAACACTAGCTTTCTATTTTTTGTATTCTATCTACTTGTATTTCTTTGTGTGTGTATATGTGTGTACATGTGTGTGTATAATATATATATATTTGTATTCTATCTACTTGTTTTTCTTTGTGTGTGTGTGTATACAGTATGTGTGTGTATAATATATATATATATATATATATATATACACCTTGCTACGTGTACTGCGTTAGGCTAACCGGGACTTGTCATTTGCACTTATATATTGTTGCTCTTTTGTTAGTTTTGACTGCTTTTATTGTCCTCATTTGTAAGTCGCTTTGGATAAAAGCGTCTGCTAAATGACTAAATGTAAATATATATCTAAATGTCAATTTTTTTTTTTTAAGAAAAATATTAATACCTACTTGGCATTGGTTATTCATTGTTACAAGTATTTTAAACATACTCTACCATTCAAACTGTTGAGGTTGGTAAGATTTTATGCTCACCAAATTTGCATTCATTTGTTCAAACCTACAGTAAAAACAGTATTATTGTGAAATATTATTACAATTTAAAATAACTGTTTTCTATGTGAATATATTGAAAAATTTAATTTATTGCTGTAATCAAAGCTATATTTTCAGCATCATTACGCCAGTCTTCAGTGTCACATGATTCTTCAGAAATCATTCTAATATGCTGATTTGCTGCTCAAGAAACATTTCTGATTATTATCAATGCTAAAAACAGTTGTGCTGCTTCATATTTTTGTGGAAACAATCCATTTTATTTTCAGAATTCTTTGATGAATTATTTGAAATAGAAATCTTTAGTAAAATTATAAATGTCTTTCTGTCACTTTTGATCAATCCATGCAGTCAACGAATCCTTACTGAAAAAAAAAATTCTAATAATAATAATTTAAAAATTTTTACTGACCCCAAACTTTTGAACAGCACAAATTATGGCAAAGCTTTTCATTTTAGTCTACAATATTCATCAGACGATCAGTGAACTGAATGAGTGCTCTATGATTGAAACTAAAAGTTAAGCAATAAGCAAGGAAAATAACAATAAATTAAATTTGCTACCTATTAGATTGTGTTTAATTAACGTCTACACCTACCCCAACCCTAAATTTAACCTTACAATAATGCAAATACAGCAATTAATTGTTGTTCAGCGTGACAAAATTGACGCAATATTGATGTGCGCGTGCCCAGCAGGACAATCTGGCCGTAGCTGTATCCATTCTAGTCCAATCAGACGGTCTCTTCCTGTCTAAGTGGGCGGTGCATGGCTGATGTACCTGCTCTCTCTCCTGCTCCAGCTCCTCCTGCTCCATGCTCTGCTCGATCTCACAGAGGAGGCTGTGTGGGTTCGGACTGAAGCCCTGTAGACTGTGTTCCTCCGTCAGCTCCTCCAGACGAGCGCTCAGCTGCCGGTGAGACACACGCACTTCCTGCAGCTCGAGCTGACTCTGGCGCAGCTGGTGCGAACACACGAGAGCCAGAAAACTCTCAGAACACTCACAACCCCTGCCCTGACCCACCCCTGAGAAATAAACGAGCCGAACGCGACTCATCCATGTAGATGCAGCGTCACGCTAAAGGAAGCATGTGCAGTTACTCATGTCATTGTCTAAATAAATACTCTATTCTCAGGCATTTTATCACCTATGATTCATTTATTCCACAACCGCAAGTGTCTGATAATAGAAATAAATCAGTGTTTGTAATGTTGTGATTCATCTCAGAGCTCAGCACTCACCGTTATGCTCTATTAGATTGACTGTAAAGCCAAATTAAAGGATTAGTTCACTTCCAGAATAAAGATTTCCTGATAATTTACTCACCCCCATGTCATCCAAGGTGTTCATGTCTTTCTGTCTTCAGTCGTTAAGAAATTAAGGATTTTTCTCCATATAATGGACTTCAATGGAGGTGTAGGATATCAGACCGAATCAGACGATCTATGATTTGGTTAAAACTATCTAGTGAAATGATCGCTCATTTTCTTTAAAAAAATAAAATACAAAAGTATATAATTTTTAACCACAGATGCTCGTCTTGCACTAGCTGGACTTCATGCATTACGTAGTCACGTTGGAAAGGTCAGACCCTTATTCCTCGGCTGGGATCGTGTAGAGCCCTTTGAAGCTGCACTGAAACTGCAATTTGAACCTTCACCACGTTGGCCCCCATTGAAGTCCATTATATGGAGAAAAATCCTTAATTTCTTAACGACTGAAGACAGAAAGACATGAACATCTTGGATGACATGGGGGTGAGTAAATTATCAGGAAATTATTATTCTTGAAGTGAACTAATCCTATAATCTCTTTTTACTTACATCGTATCTGCAGTTTGTTGTTTATGATGAGAAAATTGGCAGGTTTCAGTCACATTTTCAGTTCACACGTCAAAACTCTGATGTTTTCAGCGCTGACTAACCTACATGCCTCTGATTGGCCATTGCGTTTCTAAGCTCAACAGAAACATGTGTGATTGGTTTTTAAATCTCAGCGCTGCAAATAACAACACGTAAAGAGAAATCTGATGCAAAGTGCGCATCATTTTAATGAAACGATGTAATAACACGAATTGATGCTTTTCATTTCAACTTTTCATTTTGATCGCGACAGCCTTGATTATGTTTAGTTTAATTGTGCAGGGGCATTTTTGCCTCATTATCTTGAATTTATTGGGCATCTTTTGCCACAAGACCCCGTTAATTTCCAACCCTGGTGTACAATGTTTTTTTGTTTTGTTTTTCGAATTTGTAACTAAAACAAAGATTATTGGAGCACATATTATAAGGAAATATTATTTCAGTCTCTACTTCAAAAATTCTAATTTAATTCAATGAGTTACTTGCCATTTCTTTGTAATTATTTGTGAAATTTAATAGCAATTTCTGAGTGAAATTTTTTTTAAACCTTTTTTTTTTTCAGTCTACGACTGGAGTCTCATTTTAGTGAGCATCATTTTAATCCAATTTTTAAAAAGTACTATTCATTTCTTTAGAGGTAAATCTTTCTTTAATGAAGAAATAAATGACTTTTAAAAAACAGCATGTTCTGTAAATCCTAAACGCTGAGCTGATGAAAAAACCTGAGAACTGGAGGCCGTCCAACGAAACACAAATAACAGTGAATCAAACACATGCAGCTGTTTCTCCAGCAAAACAATGAACTGCTAATCTCTAATAACACAGAATTAGATGGAGCAAGAACAAGAATGACTTCTGTGGAATCACTTTTTTTGTTTGTTATTCTCGCTCAGTTTGGACTGCAGCTTTTATCTGCCGAGTTTTCAATGACTTGATTTCATTCCGAATCACAACCGTTTCAGGTGCAGATCAGTCAGAACATATTGTTCGGCTGGTTTTATCACCTTTTTATAATGTATGAATGGATGTACCTGTCAGAATTAACCTCAAAATCAAAAGAGCGAAATAAAAAATATATTTTGCTAAAAGACAAATGAAGCCTATTTTAGGACCATTAGGATTTTTAACATTATTGCATTATTTCATGTTCATGTTAATTAAACACATTTATTTATAAATCATGGTAGCACTTTTGTATTGCATTTCATTTATCCTCAATTTACAATGAGAATTACAAAAAAAAAACACCCTCAATTAAAACATCCGGCTGAATTACAATAATGAGAATTTGAGGAGAATGTGTTTAATTGTCTTGAAAATAGTGTCACAATACAGACATTTTAATGCTCCTTAAATAGGGTTTATTTACTTAAGGCGAAATATAATATAATGTCAAGTTCTTGAAAGATTTCATAAGATTCACTCAAAGTGAATAAAGATGAACTTTTTTACTTTTATCTTTTTCCCATACAGGAAAAAAATAAATAAATAATAAATCACTCAATCAATAATACAAGTAAAACTTACTGAAAATATATTTTTTATATTATATATATATATTGGGCATTATTTTTATATTTTATTTTATTTTATTTTTTGGCCATATGGGTTTGCAGTAAAAATATGTAAACAACATAAAGCAGGGTACATTTTGAGAAGATATATAGTAAGAAAGAAAATATCTTTTTTAACACATTTTTTTTTTAGTGTTTGAAACATAAATCTTTTATGGGATTTATGACATGAATGCTTATTAATTTCCAGTCATATACAGTTTTGCTTCTCAGTGTTCAATTATTTACTGAAAACCAAAACATAAATAGTGATTATAATGTGTGTGTTTGTTTTGCAGTGTGATGGTCGCTCACCTGTAAGTCCTTCTCATGACACTGTTTCTCCAGCACCAGCGTTCGCTCTCTCAGGTCTTCCACCGTGTGCTGCAGCTGCTGGTTCTCCTCCAGCATGGCGTTCACGCGTCGCTCCAGTTCCTGCTTACGTTCTGACAACATCGTTATCTGCATAACGAGAGTGGGAAAAACACCAGGTTACGGACATCAGCATTGTACAGCTTTAGTCTCTGACTCTGTTTAGACCTATTCAGAGCAAAACAACTTAAAAAACTTTACAAACGAATGAATCACAATATATCTAAACCTTACATATACAGTATATGAGTCTAATGTATCTGAAAAACTCAAGTGTGGTTTAATGGATTAGTTTAAACTCTCCTGTAGTTGTAGGAATGCTGTGTTGCCAGGCATCGGTAGGGAGTCACTAACACCTCCATAGTCAGGAATGTGCTCTTGATAACGGGAATATTTCAAAACAACTCCTAGAAAATGCTATTGCTCAGAGGTTGCTCTTTCATAGTTTAGGAAGTTTCATGGCGTTCTCAGCTGTTTTATTTAAAGGGGTCATATGATGCTATTTTAAAGATCATTATTTTGTGTATTTGGTGTAACAGAATATGTTGACATGCTTTAATGTTCAAAAAACACATTATTTTTCAAATACTGTACATTATTGTAGGTCCTCTATGCCCCGCCTCTCTCAAACGCTTCGTTTTCACGTCGCCCCTCCTTTGACAAGCGCAGTCTGCTCTGATTAGCCAGCTGA